AAGTGAATGCCAAGGGTTTATTCGTGAGGCTCATTAACTCTTCTGTTGACAAAGAACTGGAAATTGGAAATCATATACTCCAGCAAAAAGTGAATGGACAAACAGTCTGTTTGTACAGATTCCTTTCAAATATCACAATGCAGGCCAATTCCACAGTAACAGTGAGTATAAGATATAAATACTATGAATGACAATTACACAGAAAAATCTCATTTTCCTGGTCAGACTATGGCTCAGCACCAGTGATTTCTTCATCATTCAATCTCTATGTAAAATGTGATGTTTTGTTTTGTTGGTGGTGGCTAATTGTGCCATGTTGTCCATCTCTGTATGTAAATTAATATCCATAATTAAATTTTCATAGCTTTCTTCAATTTGTTGTACAATATCTTAATTTTTATTATTTAACTATTAAAATTAAACACCTAAGTTCTGAAAATTAAACAAACAATCCTTAAAAGAAAAGCAAAGAGATTGTTTACGTAGAGAACAGGTAATTAGTTGATACTGGAGGGTTTTTTCTCTTTCTTGTGCTGTCCTTTAAACTAAATAACATAGTATTTAGTGTTATACCACTTGACACTATATATTATATAGTCATTATATTTTAAAGCCTCATATATTCAGAAAGATAACATTGCAATAACCCTTTGACATTTACAAAACTTACGTTGAATTTCAATAACATTTGTCATTATCAAACTATTTTCTAACAGGTCTGGGCAGCAGCATCTGAAGCAAAGCATCAGCCACCATCAGATTTTCTTTGGAAGGAAGAAAACAAGTTTACATCCATCCCGAATTGTACGACAATCCTGTGCAAACCTAATGGTGAGGTCAGTATCTGGCTCTTAACAATAGTTTTTAAATGGATAGTCTCCTGTTGTTCCTCTTCTCCCTTTAGCTTTCTCAATCATGTTTGCATCCCTAAAAGCTTAGATAGAACCATCACTAACTGTCATAACACGTCAGCAAATCAAAAGCACCCTCCTCCCAGGGCCAAAGTGCCAAAGAGCGGCTTACATTTAATTGGGCAAAAATAATTTTGATATCCCATATTTCTAAGAAGCCATTTCAAATTTCAGAGTCAAAGATGGATTTTATTTATGGTAGTTAGCCTGTAGAGCAGGATAAGAAAGGAAGGAACCATGTAAAGTCCTTTTCTATTCATTTACCTATTTCTCAAATGTTTGTTGAGATTCTTCTCTATTCTAAGGCCTGTAATAAGTGTTGGGAATATAATATAGAGTACGACAGGATATCTGCTGTCAAGATACTAATATTCTAAAGAAAGAACCAACACTTTATGGCTACACTTTATTCACTATAAAATTAAGTGTATTACTATTAATATAGTGAGTCATTCCCAATATTTGACAATTTTATATTTTCACTCTGCCTTTTACTTGGTATAATATTAGCATAAATATATACCCAAAGATGCACCAGGAAAGTTCAAAGGTATCTCTTTTTCCAACAAAAAAGTTACTATTCTTACAAAACCATTCTCTAGATTTTTCTTAAATCTCTGCCCTTTTCTCACCCCCAGTCTAACTTACTATGTCATATAACTACTAATCCACACAATATGTTGATCAAAATCTATTTCTGAGTTTCTTTCTTGCTACGTTACACCTTCTGCTTACTTGACTATCCCTTTACAGTACATTTGTTAATCTATTGAGCCATTTAATATTATTCTATGAGAACAAGCAGTTGTCATTAGATGGAGAGAACCCTCATTAGATGTAATTTTGCAGCCTTCACTCACCTTTAAATATTTTTGTGGGCTCAAACTGAATCTTATAATACTTACAATGGTTTTTACCATTGATAGGGAAAATAAGGCTGTACTTCTAAGTATTTACTAAGCCTCCTAAGAAATTATTAGCAAAACATAGATTAGGATTACAGCATTCTTGTTTCAGACCTTTCATCATATTTATCCACCCATTTATCCACTCTGCAAACACGTTTGGGGTTTCTACTTTGTATACACACTGTTCCAGCCACTGGAGTGTTGAACTAGACAGACCAGGTCCCTGAGCTCCTAGAAGGCACATTTTGATAAATTGTCATTCCCTGAAACTGAATTAGACTTTGTATTTAGACTACCCCTTTTACTGAGTGGCTTGAACTACTTTGCACATACTCGTATAGAATCAGACCATTTCTGCAAGATGATGTAAATACAAATAATTTTGTTTGCCAGTGAAAGAGTGAACCTGTTTGACTGATACATATGGGAAATATTTAGATGTGTTTAGTATCTGCCAAGCATTGCGTTAGGTGCTGGAAAAAAGGGGGGCACAAAAAGGAGCATAGCTATTGTATGGTTCCTGTCCTCAGAAAGCCCAGAGTCCAGTAGTAGCAATTGATATGTAGCAAGAAACAATTGCATTACAGTGAAANGCCAGCAGCCAGCGTGAGCGGCCAGCAGCCTCAATGAGCGGCCGTCCAGAAGCCAGCAACTGATCTGCCTCGCCCGGGAAGAGCGCAATGATGGTGCCAACTTGGGCCAGTGAAGCAACGTCCTTTTAACTAGACTGAAGAACAAAAGGACAGCAACTTGTCTGTTCCCCTTCCCACAATTCCCCAGCACTGTTCCCATCCCCCCAATTCTCCAACAAAAATCTGTAAAAAAAAAAGAAAAAAGAAAAAAGAAAAAGAATGCCTGGCACTCCAGCAGCCCTCTGCATCACTCAGTCACAATTTCAACTGGTTTTCACAGCCAGAAATTATAGGGACTCCTCTTCTTCGCACTGGAATCCTGGGCTGGGGAGCCCGGTATGAGACTGGGACCCCTTGCTCCTCAGGGATGACCTCCACAGTTGAGCTATCCCTCCCAATTTTTAACTGCCACACATGGATGTGGGACCACCCCATTCTATATCTCTGCCCCTCCTACCAGTCTCACATGGCTTCTTCTGTATACCCCTAGTTAAAGGACTTCTGTTCAGCTAGACTTCAGGTGATTTTCAGTGATGGTTGTTCTGTAGTTAATTTCAATCTTGATGTGCTGTATTCAGAATTTAAATAATTTGAATGGTTAGATCATCCTTTTTAGAGACTTTGCTAGGGTGAGGCAGAAAAACAAGCACTAACATTTATTGAGTGACCTTGGACATCTCAGTTAATCTCTCTACTCCTCAGTTTCCTTATTTATAAAATGAGACTAAAAAATAGTACCTATCTTAGTGGGTTGTTGGGAGAAATAAATGAGATAATACAGTGTTCCTCAAATATTTTGTCTGTGATCTTCAATAAGAAATATGTAGCCTCATTGTGAGAATTAAATGAGCACATGCCTTTACCAAAATATTTGGAGAGTTATGTGTTTCTAAATGCAGAACTTGGGGAATTTTAAGAAAATAATATGAGGAGAACATATATTACATAACACCCCATTAAGGCATGGCAAATTATCCAAAATCAAACAATAATCTTTCCACAGCCAAACATATGAATATGCACACAAACCATGAATAAAGACTATAAATAGCCTCACCTCAGTTTCAGGTCAGGTTTTGCCAAAGGAATTCAGGTCAGATTTTGCTTCAAATGTGTTTTTTAAAGCTTTTAATTTTTCAGAACTTTTTAGATTTTGGAATTGTCAATATGAAATTGTACATATAGATATAATCTTTCAAAAGTGCCTGGCACATAATAAGTATTGGTTGTTATTATTATTGGTAGGGGTATGTTTCATTTTTAAAATGATGTCCCTAACCCGCTAAAGGGATTTCATGATGTACTAATAGATTGTGATCCACACTCTGAAAAATGCTAATATGTAAATGTTTACTCTGGTGGTGCCTGGGTACATACTAAGCTTATAACACATGTTAGTAGAAAAAAAATGCCATCTTATTTTTGTGTAATGTTTTGTTTGCAGAATTGTTTTAAGTATATAGTTGCTAGTCTTATTCACAGTAACTTTATCAGAAATAAACTCTGGTTTAACTTAGCTCTTGATCTATTTCAGAGTTTCATGACTCAGTAGTTTTATGATGAAGAGTAGAATTTAAATAATAATCATCATACCTTCCTATGGCATTTATACCTTGACACCTAAAGCACTTTTTAAGTTTTCTTTAATTATTTTACATGAAAGAGATTATTTTATTGCACAGATAAACAAACAGAGCTAAGAGATCAAGGCATTTGTCTTATTGGGTTGTCGGAAAATTTGTGACGCATGCTTGCAACAGATGGCACTAGTTCATTTTTGGAAGTATTAAAATCCTTTGCATCTATGTTATTGCTATGTCATTTGATAGCTGACAGTTCTAGCTTCATTCTAAAAAAAATTGAGTGATTTGGGTGAGGTTTGAATATTTTTCAATAAGTTGAAGATGGAAGACCAAACTGTGCATTTTTGCCATATTTTATTTCCATAAAGGAAAGAACACACGTCAAGCTTGTGAAAAGTTGCATGAAGTTTATGGTGACAATGCTCTACAAGAACATCAGTGCCAACGATGGTTCAGGAAATTCTGTGCTGGTAATTTTGATCTCAATGACATTCCTTGGTCAGGGAGGCCCACCGAGGTTGATGACGACAA